TTTCTGCATTTTTCTGGTTTTTTCTTTGTTCATATTGGAATTCATCTCGGATGTATTTTGTCATTGGGGGTGACCCTCTGAAATTTTGTTATATGTTTTTCTGTTTTTCAGTATATGAAACCCAGGATTGATGAACTTGTAGAGACAGCAAGTAGAATAAGAGTTTCTGGGGATGGGTAGGGTGAGGGTACAATGATGGGGTGCAGGAGTAAAAGGGAGCTGATGTCAAGGAGCTCAAGAAGGAAGAAAATGTTTTGAAACTGATTTTGTTATAAATTGTACAATACCGTTTGATGTGCTTTAACTATGGAATGATATGGTATCTATATAAGCTCCCAATAAAATGCTTTTGGGGGAAAAAATGAAAACCTCAGATAAAACATATGACACACTGTATTAGTCTGGGTACTTTGGAGAAACAAATCCACAGCGACTCATGTAAGAGAGAGTTTTATGTAAAGAAAATGTGCATCACGAAAACATCCCAACCCAATGCTGCCCAAGCCCACAAGTCCAACATTAACCCATTAACCCAACACCAGTCCACAAAGTCCTCCACCTCACAAAACAGAGGCAATGATGCCGGCTGCAGGAGGAAAGCTGAGTCAGTGAATGAACAAGCATCTCAGCACTAGCAGGGGTCTCCACACAGCTGCTCCAGTACCCAGGGCTGTAACGGGATAGGTCCATGTAGCTTCTCCTTGGGGATGTCTTGTAGGAAGTCAGTCTTGCAAGCTGAAGCAGGGAACTGCTAAGGCAGCTGCACCCTGGTGCAACCATCACAAAACAAGAGACCCAAGAACTAGAAAGGCGAAGCTTCACCACCCATTTATCCCTCCGCCTTTCAACCAGCCCCACATGTGATTATCGGCCAGGCTGGCACACACACATATAACAATTTTAATAAGTAAAATACATAAAAAGGCCACCAAAAATTAAAAAGAAAGCTCAAACAACTCGAAAGAAACCCAAGGAAAGGTCAAACCATTGAAGTAAAATCCTGGGTTTAATCCAGAGTGGAGGAACCAGCTAACTATGGTCCCTGGGCCAACGCCTGTCTTTTGTAAATAAAGTTTTATTTAAATTCAGTCACACCCATTCATTTAAATCGATGGCTGCCTTTGAACTGCAGTGCACAAACGGCAACATTGCAAAAGTACGAGGCTCACAAAGCCTAAAGGATTTACCTTTACAGAAAAGATTTGCCAGCCACTGTTATAGACCAAAGATATAAGCATGTTCAAAAATCGGAACAGAGAAGATAAGGAGAGCAATAATAGTAAGGACTAAGTGGAGGGAGGCAAAGACTCTTATTATCTACACGAAGTACCACTTACATTAAAAAGCCAAACCTGAAGAAAGGGCCCTTTAACTGATCATCGCAGTTGTTAGTCAATAGGTTTTGAGCATTTCTGATTTTCTTTCCATTTTTTTTCATGATTAATGCTATTAGACATGGCTTCTCAACCAAGATAAATGTAAGCCAATCTAATATTACCGAGACGAAAATGGAATCTCAATGATTTTGAGACACTATTCCAGAAGACAATTTTACTACACTCTGTGTTTGGGCAAGTGGGTAATCAACTTAGTTGTACTGGATAGCCCTGGCTATATACGTGCAGACAAAGAATGAGAGATGTTTTCTCAAGTTATAGGGAACCAGATTCATAACCATCCGTCACTTGCTTGGGCAAGTTACTGATAAACTCTGCAGAAAAATAACGAAGAGTGTGTCCCTGCATCTCGGCTGTTGAAAATGAGATTCGTTCTCTGATTGATGTTAGCAGAGAGGCTTGTAAAAATGCATTTCCAACGGAGTAGTTCAGAAGGTGTCAATCTCATGCAGTTTTATGACCTGCAGACTACACGCCAGATGTACATTTGCTGTTGATAAAATAACAAAGATGAATGACTAAATTTGAGCATTCCTCTTTGGCAACTCTACCATAGATTGCCTAAGGGAAGACACTGTGGGAGTAGTGGGGGCTGGGGGAGAGGGTGAAGAGCATTTAACCCTTACATTCCTAGGTTAATGAAGATGAGATCGAATATTTGGAAGGCCTTGAGCCTTTGAATTATTATTTCTATTTCTTTTCAAGAATTAATATCCAGTTAAGGCGTTCCAGAACATCAGATACGTGTGTTCATTTGCTCTCCCAAGCATATGTACCCATTCTAAATCCACAAGGCAAAAGACTCTGGAATGATATAGATAGCCTACAACAGATACTAATTATTTTTTTCATGAGACCCCAGCATATAATTATGAATTGCTACTGAAATTGTTTGTTTTTTAAGCCAAAAATGATAGTCGGCCATTACGTTCCAAGTTTACAGGTGTGAGTCTTACTTTAGAGAATGGTGCCCCTATTCTTTGAAAGAAACGCAGCAAGACATTATTACCAGCTGCTCCAAGGGAGGAAGATGAGACTTTCTAGGGCCATAGAGGTTTATAGTCTCAGACACGCCCAGAGGCAGTTCGGGTCACTGTTCGCTGCATTCGACTCGATCGCAGTGAGTGAGATAACCTTATAAAAACAAGTATGCAGAAGGGTTTCATATCCGCCGCCCCCCAGTAAAAGTTTTGGAAAATATTTAAACAAGGTTCACCTTCATGGCCTTTTGGCTAAGAAAATAATATTTCTCTTTCAACTATAGTAGAAGTGGGGAGGCAACTTTTAGTTACTGGAGGAGCCCTGGTGGTGTAGTGACCACAAGGTCAGCAGTTTGAAACCCCCAGTGTCTTTGGGGGAGAAAGACGAGGCTTTCTGCTCCGGTAAAGAGTTGCAGACTCAGAAACCCACAGGGGTAGTTCTCACCTGTCCTATACAGTTGCTGTAAGTCAGAATTGACTCACTGGCAGTGAGTGAGTGAGTCCGGGTAAATTAGGTCTCTTTTAGTGACAAAAAATCCAACCTAAACTGGTCAAAAGAAAGAGAGAATTGCTTGACTTCTTTAACTGCTGTGAAAAACCCAAGGGAACAGGTGTGTCTTCTGGCAGAAATCCTAAAAATGTCACTTTGTTTCTCTCTCCAGTTTGTGGATCGCTGTCATTGGGACAGCTCCATTCCCAGAGAAGTGCTTCTCTTGAGGCGGCAAAACAGCTATAGCAATCGCAGCCCCACAGCCTTCCAGCTTCAAACTTGCGCAGCTGGAGATAGAATCCCCCCCTCTTTTAATATAGTTCCTGGTTAGACGTGTTTAGTTACATGTACATTTCTGAGCCCAGCATAAAGGCGTATATGCACATGGGCTGAGATTTGGGAAGGCTGGATACGCAAATGAAAATTTTGAGCTGTTGCCTTAGGAAGAAAAAATGAGTATTAGAAAGGAAATCAAAACCATTTCTATATCCTTCTTGGACAAAAGTACCTAAGTACATTGAGCTAGTGCAGCTAAGCCGCCTCGCCTCTTGTTTATTTTTGTTTGTTTTAATCTTTCTTATATTGTTCTTGACTACTTGCAAGAATGAGCTGTTTAATTCTCTATAGACTTGCGGGTGGCTGGGGTCTTGGTTTGATATCAGACAATGAAGGAACAATTGGCATCCAACTAATAAGACTGATCCTTATCAAATAAAGTGGCTATCGTGTATTTTTATTTTTAATGAAAGTGATTTAAGAACACTTAGGTAAATAAAACATATAGATCATTTGGATATTTTAAACTGAACTTAACATAGCAAGACCTCATAATTAGATTTGAAGCTTTTAGAACTATTTTTGTCACCTCTCCCAAGCATGACTAAAATCATCGGAAACTAATGTTTGTATTACTCTAAGAGAAATATAATTGCCAAACAAATCAAAACCTATGTGGTAGCTGCTCAACAATTACCTTAAAGGCTATCAACGCCAAACCGTCATGTGTATAACACACTTGTTCACGAATAAGTTTATTTACATGCCTTAAACAAAGTACACGTGTGAACTATTGCTTGTAATTTTAGCTTTCATTTTTCTGGAGAAAATTCTTCTACACATTATTCCTTTTATCTCACTAAGACTATATAGCTCATCTTTCCATACTTGAAAAATCTAATAATTTCCAATATTAAATCCTATTTATAGTCACTCATTTTTTTATTAATACCTCCATTTCAAGGGAGCCATACTAAGGATTCTAGTTTAAATTTAGGCACTGCCTTCATTTTGTCCCAGACACTTTCCCTTGCCCTCCGTGGGGTACGGCTTACTTGTAAGGAGACAAGGCGAAGACAAGGCGAAGCGCATCCATTTTGATCTGATTCGTTTTTTTCAAAGACCTTGTTTTTATTTCTCAGCCTCTTTTTTATCCCTTACCCTTTTTAAAATTTCAGGACTGAACCCGATGTAGGCCCCTGTCTATTTACCACACACACGTACTGTTAGTCCCTAGTGCGTGTTCTCCAAAGTAGAGGGTTGAATGATGCTCTTTACCCCAGAAAAAGACATCCCTGGTGCCATATGTGATATACATCTCCCACCAACCAAAAGGAGGGCAGTTTGGACCCACCCAGAAGTACCTGAGAAGAAAGGCCCAGTGATCTCCCTCTGTGAAGACTGCTGTCGGCCGCTGTCACTCCTAACGCATAGCAACACGGCTGTGTCGGCCACCTTGGGGGCGGGGTGGGGGAATCAGCCCTCCAAAAAGACCACAGCCAAGAAAACGCCAGGGAACGTGGAGCCAGCCGCAAGTTTGGTTTGGGTTTTTGTTTTGTTGTTCTTGTTTTAATCACTCCTATGATGAAACCACATTCCTTCATACCACTTCAGATTGGTCCAGACAGTGATATTTTATATCCGATTTGGAGTCACCATTATGTGATCCTTTGGAAAGCCATGTTCAGTTCAGATAGTGTCCATGAAAGCCACTGCCAATATAGGGTTTCTCGTTCATCTGGTTTCGAAAGTGTGCATTGCGGAAATCACTGGCAGCAATGGGCTTGGGCCGGGGAATCACCTGCTGTAAACAACAGAAACGCCTCCTCACGGAGTGGTTTCCATTTCTCCCTCCAGATGGGCTCGTTGACTGCATGGATCCTGATTGCTGCTTACAGAGTTCTTGCCAAAATCAGCCATACTGCCGGGGCTTGCCGGACCCTCAGGACATCATTAGCCAAAGTTTACAATCGCCATCTCAACAAGCTGCCAAACCCTTCTATGATCGGATCAGTTTTCTTATCGGATCCGATAGCACTCACGTCATCCCTGGAGAAAGCCCTTTCAACAGAAGGTGAGCGGTCCTCTGCTTCCTAGATGTGTCTGTCTGTCGTGCTGCCCCCACGGTGACTGCGCCGCGCCTGGAGTGAAGCGCTGCGGAGGACTGGGGGTGGCGGGGCTGCCTTTCCTTCTCCTTCTTCTCAAAGGTGAGTTTTCCTCCTCCGGCGGCGTCTTCACCAAATCCGCGTCCTCCAGCCTTGCTTACACCGTTCGCATGCTTTGCCAATTTCAATAGCGGAGACGGACTGGGCTTTCCGTCGAAGGAGTCGATCAATCTTCATTTAACTAGTCGATCCCGCTAGCACAGTCGGGAGTGTTTTCAAAGGAAGCCATGAAAAGACCCCAAAAGACAAAAAAGAAGTGCCATGTTTTTTTTAGCTGAGCTCACTAAATAATATAAATTATGAATTAATGTAATGGAACGCTAACGGCGTGGCGGTGAGATTGCACACGCTGTTTGGAGCTCTCCGGCGCCGTCATGACCTGAAAATAAGCCGTAAGTGAACGCAGGTGTCTGTGTCTCACTGAGCTGAAGAAGATGATTTACACGCGGACTCCTGGATCCCGCAGTAATTTAACAACATTAATGCAGTTAGGCCCAGCAGTTGATTAAAAGTTGTTGCACAAATGTTCCTTATTGCCCCCTTAAATCTCATACTTCTTGGTCCCTGCAGATTTACGTATTGCCTCAGAATTAATTGGAAAGTATACTTTTCTTCACGTGAGCACCAGATGAGCCGACAATGCAAAGGAAGCATGGAGTTAACCATTTAAAAATGTTTATCTCTAAATTACTGGTCTTGACGACTCTCTCAAAAACAAACCGAGAGGAGAAAAAGAACAGATTGCGATACATTAACGTGCAGGGTAAACACAAGGCATTTAGAGGATACAAATTACACTGAATTAAGAAGGGCATTGTCTTGGGAGTATTTCAGGTGTGATTTTGTGAATAACAATTGATTGCAAGTGATAGTGTTATTTTATCCTTGGGTTGAATTGCCTATAAATCATGGTAATGCCGGCCTGAGAAGACAAATGTTCATTCTAATTCTTCTGTATTTCCCACAGCCTGGCATCCGTCATCAGAGGCCAAGTACTGACTGCTGATGGAACGCCACTTATTGGAGTGAATGTCTCGTTTTTCCACTACCCGGAATATGGATATACTATTACCCGCCAGGACGGAATGTGAGTGAGTCCCATCACACTGTCTGTCTGAAGTATGAAAATTATACATCCTTGCATCACCCAGACTGTTTTATTGCCCCCTTTTGGAATAGAAATGCTCCGAGTTTTAGCCTCCAGAAATATACATGGGATGGAAATTTAAAGTCAGGGGCTCATACACTTTTCAAAAAATTGATTTTACTTTCAAAGGTCTAATAATATGGTTTTTTTGTGGGAGAATGTTCTTTTTCTTAAAAGATGCTTGTTGGAATATTTCAGAGTGGCATTTCGTAGTGTCTGCAACTTAAGCTGATTCTGAAGGAAAAAAAGAAGGCAGGGAGACAAATAGATAAAGCCACCTGGGCAAGATGATGCCAAATTCGTGACTGTAGATAAAGGGGCTATCGGTGTCCCCTGAGTCGTTTTTCAGAGGTTAATAGGACAGTTAAACTTTTCATGGAGAAGCTGGGCAGAAAAGTTGCCTTTTTAGACAGCATACTGATGGAGAGAGGTGGGCGTTAGCCATTGACAGAGGGACCCAGATAATTTACGAAGGGTGTCTTGTTTCTCCCGCAGGTTTGACTTGGTGGCAAATGGTGGGGCTTCGCTCACGCTGGTATTTGAGCGCTCCCCATTCCTCACTCAGTATCATACTGTGTGGATCCCGTGGAATGTCTTTTATGTGATGGATACCCTGGTCATGAAGAAAGAAGAGAACGACATTCCCAGCTGTGATCTGAGCGGATTTGTGAGGCCCAACCCAATCATCGTGCCATCACCATTATCCACCTTTTTCAGATCCTCTCCCGAAGACAGCCCCATTATTCCCGAAACACAGGTAGAGTGTTCTGGCGGGCGTAGCACCACCTCAGATCAAGTGCTTGGTGGAGCAGCTTAAGAAAGGATCACAAAATGTTAGAGCGCTCTTAAAGATTTCTGTGAAATAGGATGCAGAATG